TCCTGGCAAGCATCTTTTCTTTCTGTCAGTATCATACTCAGTAGTATCAAACACAAGTCTTATGGGAAGTGGTTGAGGGAACCAGGATTGTTCAGTCCAGAGAGGAGGCTCAGGGAAGACCTCATCACTCTCTACAACTCCTCCTATCTCTGCTAGTGGATAATAGCATTCTTTTCCACAACATAAAGCCACTTTCAATTTTGCATAGGATCTCTTAGAAACTAAGTTTGGTGGTAACATGGGTACACAAAGCTGAGGACTCTCTTATTTTGCTTCTGTAGTATGACTGCTTCAGATAATCTCTGTCAGTAAAACCTGTGCTTGATTGGGTTCTCCTTCTTTGCCCACTTAGTCCAATGGGAGCTAAGCCAGGTCATTTGGTGAAATGTTTGAAAAGCGGATGTTGCCTATCACTGAAAGAGCACTGAAAGAGCATGAGGTATCCATTGGCCACGTGCCAAAAGGCTTAATAAAGATTTGGGAGGCACTTTTTTATTTCTGCAGATTTGATTTTGCTTCATCCAATTCAGATCTTGCAAGAAAATAACAGGCAGTGGAGTGGGATGAGAAAAATCTGCCTGTAAGGGTTCTTGCCTGGACACACTGTTAGCAGGACCCTGCCTATTTGACCAAGGGAGTACTTTCTACCTACTCAATTGTATATAGTGTTTAGTGGGAACTCATTTAACTTTGTAAGGTGTCCACATCTGAAAGAGCAGGAGTACTCCAATGAAAGGCTCACAGAAAGGGATGAGCAAGCTGCTGTCTTTTGTGACTCACAGTCAAGTGATAATTTTTACTGAAGTTTCCCTTTTTATTCATGTATAGCATAGTCAGCAGCCTCATATCATGCCTTTTCCTCAGACCAGTAATTTTAATCTAGCCACCTACAGGTGTCTTGTTCTGAGGCATGTTAATCAAATTTATGCCATTCTTGGAAGCAGTCTAGAAAAGCAGATAGCAGGTAATCCTTCCCACAGGCATTTCTAGGAAGCTTATTCTAAAATATTTCAAATTGCTCTGAAATTACTGTAAGAGCTGTACATCTAAAGCAGTATTGAAAATATTTGTTTCAGCGACCCGTGTAGTCTCTGGCACCATCCGACAACTCCCAGCCTGTCAAAGAGATAAACATTCTGCTTTAGCATGCCCCAGTGGCTAGAATAACTTCTACCGTTTTGTGGTTGTGTTGTTATGTTCTTGTGCTGTAGCTGTTCCCACCGCTTCTTGAAGAGTAGCAATTCAGATCAGGTTTCCTAACAAGTGTTTTTGTTTCTTTATATGCATGGCTGGTGATGTATTGTCTTGGGGTACTGCTGTATCTTGAGTTCCTGGCCTGCATGTGGTGCAATTTGGAGTTACTGATTTTCTACTAACACATTCAGACATAAAGAATTCTGTGTTCTTAGGGCCTTCCCTTTTACATGACTTTAAAAGAGGGAATAGGAAATTAGTATATCATCTGGAACCAAAGCATTTGTTTGAAATTCAGAAAACAGTTTTCTCCAGTTTTAAAATATATGAAAAGTAAAAAGTCTAGAACAGAAATTGAACTTCTCTTGTGCAGGATTTCCTTGTTCATTTGGCGAGATTTGTAAACATTAAAAACTCAATTTTTGAAATTTGAGTTCAGAAGTCTCTGCTGAAACCAGTAAACCTAGCAGTTGCCTAGATTAAAATGTCCCTGTGTAGTAAAAGCTGCAAGTAGGAGACCTGTGTTTCACAGTAATCTTTGACAACAATCGTAGGTTGTGTTCTGCAAGATCAGGTACTGCTTTGAAGGGAATTCAGGAGTGCTCAGTGCACGTTTGAGTACATGGACCAGTCTGCAAGCACGTCAGACTCACAGCGTGGCTGTTCTGGCATACTGCTTGTTGTGATCCCCGCAGGTCATCTCCCTTCAATGCAGATTAAAGGCAGAGGTCTCACTCTAGCAGAGCCATGGCTGAGCTGATCACATAACAGCTTCTTAGTTTTGCTTTGAGCTTGAAAACAGAAGAATAGAGATTCTTGGCTCCGCATCCCCCTGCCCAACTAAATTGACCTCTCAGAGGCATCTCTTCACCTAGTGCTGTGAGGATAATGCAGGGCTGTGTATAGAAAGAAAAGAGTAGGCCTTCTGTTGGGACAGGGCCTGGGGCTTTTCTTTAGAGGGGCATTCAAGCGTGTTAGGCTAAAACAGAAAACAGGTGAAAGAGGCCTACTCCTTATCATATGGCTCTGGGCTAATTCTCCCTTACATTCTAGCTGCTTGATAGCAGGGTCAGTTTCTCTCATCTTTCTTCCAGTTGTTTTGGGTGATCAGGTCTCTCACATACCACTAGGCTCTTTGTATCTCAGAGCCCAGGAAAAGGGTGAAAGTGCTACCTAAGATCAGAGAAGTCCTGTACCTGAAACCCTCAACCTTCAATCATGTTTTGATTTTATACCAAACTCAGGTTGAGCCTGTAAGTCCTCTTGTCCCCAGGCCAGATCTGTCTATTGGAGCATGGATAACCCATCTTTTTGATGGAATAACACTGACATCTCATAATCCTTTAATGTGCCTAACCTGAGCTTTTCCCAATTGGTCATGTCTTCTGAGCAATTTTGTATCTTGTACCTGTATGTATTTATATGCATGTGTGTTTTACACGATTTTTTCATTTGTTCTGTTGTGTTTTAGACAATTCTAGCACTGCCTTATTCCTTATTATGTACACATAACTTACTGCACTGCAAAGGCTCTCTGTGAAAGCTTGCACTGATGTAAAAGATTTTTTTATGACTGCGTCAAATTTAAAAGATGAAGACTCTGCTTCAGGAGAGCATGGATCAAATTGGATTCATCCATATGCTGTAGCCATTTCCTGAATGTCAGTCTAAATCGCTACTGTGAGCAAAAGGAACTGAAGATTGAGGGGAGGCAGTGAATGTGATGGTGTGATGTGAACAGATGTTCTGTTACTTTCTCTTGAAATGTGTGGGACCCTAAGTGTTTAAACTGGCTCAGGAATAGTTATTTATCACTAGAGATTGCCATGTAGATTGCTTTGTGTATTGTCTCCTTTCTCCTGAAGAGCTTGTATTAGGAAAATAAGAATTCAGAACCTTGGCACTTCCTTTCACCACTGCAGAAGGGAATCAGGTTGTTCAATGCTGCCTGACTGAGATAGGTACCTAGTCTGAGCTTACTCTTTGCATTACTTCAGTCCTCACCAGTAGAGAGGCACTTCTCAGTGTGTAAGTTATCCCACATCACTCTTACAAGAGGATTAATCATGCTTTGAAAGTGCCAGTTTCTCTGAAGCCTGGAGCCACGGGAGTGTGGAGAATGGTGAATGAATCACCTCTCTCCTTTCTGTTGCATGTATTTCTCCTCTGTGTTAAAGGTGAGAGATGACAAATAAGTTCAGTGCCTTATGAACCTAATGTTGAACTTCCAGTGGCTACTTTTACTTTTTTACAAAGTTTAATTCCAATCACTAACGTTCCCCACAGCAGGTCTCTTCACTGACATGACAAAACTCTCACTATCCACATATTAACAGGACCTGAGGCTGAAACATTAGCATGCAACAGGCATCAGCAGTGTTAAATTAGGTCCACGTCAAAGTCAAGCTTTGCTTCTTCTGAAAACAGAAGTTAAGACTGAGGAGTTTGAAGAAAATGTAGTTATTGGGTGAGAAAATGTGATGTGAGTTATGTGGATATTGCATTGCTACATTAAAAAGTTTAGTTTGAGCTAGATTACTTTGATTACTTAGGCTCTTGGAGAAGCTTTTTTTTTAATAAATACTTGTGCTCAAGTGATACCATCCAAGTATCATGCTGTAAGCTGATATTTCACATTTCACAATGCTTTTTGATGTTGTGTATGAGAAACTGGTGCTTGTGTTCATCCAACTTGTTTTGCTCTAAAAAATCAAATTCCTTGGTGTAAGTGTCACCACTGTACTTTGCTTCCTATCTCCATGCATGTCCTGTCTGTTGGAAGCATTCTGGTTGTTTAATTCTTATGTATTTATGAGGAATATTAGCAGAAAATGTTTTTTTTTTTTTTTCTGGAAGTACCAATGTTAACACTGCTTAGATCTATAAAAGCAAGAGAGTTCTTTATTAAGGCATTTGTTCAAGCCTAATTTTAATTAATATAGGCTGTTAAATTGACAAATGTTTTCAAAAAGCTAGATTCATAAGGGCCTGTGCAAGGTCTCTGTTACTTCTCAGCAGCCTTGTCTGATGAGGTGCTAGAGTGATTGACGTCAGTCAGTATGCAGAGCATTCAGAGTCCTTCAAAATCCCTATACATTTGTGCAATCATTTGTTCATTATGGTGCCAAATTACAGGCTGAACAGCCACTACATCTGGCTGAAAATGGAGTGGAGCCATAAATCACAGAATTAGAGAGAGCTAGCTAAGTCCTTCCTAAACTTCTGTTAACACAACTGAATTGGATTTTTTTTTTTTCTCCAGTGCTTATAATGAAAGAACCCAAAGGGTTGACCTGTGTCAATGGCTTTCAGAGCTGTTTTTGTTGTCTGTGGTTATGTGGTTCTTAATCATTTAAAAATTCTTAATGATGTTGACTGACATATCATCTAGTGCTCTTAATACTGTAAAGATGCTAGAATGATGCAAATGTTGAGGACAGATGTGAGGCCAGGTTTGAACCACAGCCTGTCATACTCTAGTTGCTGCTCCTGAACAGTTCTCTCACAGCTTTATCCCTTAGTGTACCAAGAAATCTACCGAAGCATGAAGATATGCTAGCCTACTCAATGAGAGGCAACTTTTCAATCACACCTGTATTTCAGAAATACAGAAATGTGCTAACTTAAATGAGCCTGGGAAGATTCAACAATCCCTTGTTAGAGATCCTGTGTTTCTGGTGTGTGAAGTGATAAAATACTGCATGGTCTGAATGTGACACACTTTCTATGATCAGGAAGCTATTTGCTGCCCTTCCCTCTTCCTCTTTGTTTCTTAAGTTCTGATTTCATTTTTCTCTTAACTGCAGGTCACTTCATGGGCAACAACACAGTGATCGATGTTTTGAGGAGAGAAGGGTATGATGTAGAGCACACCCCAGCTGGACAAGCCATCAACAAGTAATGCATGCCTTTATTGTAGCTGAGCTTTTGTTGGGAGGGCGGATTTGTAAACAGTCACAAAGAGGTAGTAGCAGCTGAAACTGTACTACACAGTGAGCTGGGCTCCTTCTGTTCACTGAAGTAGCTTACTTTTCCATAAGGCCAGTTAGGAAACAGGATTTTGTTGAGTTTGGCCTGTATGCTTTTTTGGAAAAAATAGACTTTTTTTTTTTTTTCTAAGGTTTTAGCTCTTCAAGTAACTTCCATAGAATATGCATTCTTGGTTCAGCAGATCTGGACACTGTCTCATATCACACAGGCTTCTGTGTTCCTTCATTCCTCCTAAGTGTTCAGCTGTCTTACCTTCTAATACTTTATTTCTCTTACACTGCTATTTTTTATTCTTCCATATTACTCTCAGCCTCGAATCTGGCTCCTTAGGGTCCACTTAGTCTCTTGCTAGTTGTCCCCACCAAAAGTGATAGCTCTCACATCCTTTGCTCTTTCCTGCATTTATAAGCCAAGATACTTGCTGTTCCGGTATGTCTTGTAGCTGTCCTTTGAGTTATCCCCTTAGCCTCTCCCCAGCCTATCAGTGGGTGCCTTTATCTATCTCCATGATCTCAGTTACTATAAAATGCCAAATGATCTCCATACTCTGCAAACGATTACCTATGCTTTCTGAACTACCTGCCACCAGCTTAGATTCTGCAATGCTCTTCTCCCCCATCTCTAGTCTCTTGCCAAAGAAGTGTCCTTGCATCCCTCAGAATATCTTCATTCTTCCCTAGAGGCACTGCAAAAAGGCCACATTGGAAAAAAGGCTTGATCTCAATTATTTTACTGTTTCCCTTTCATCCTCTGCACCAGGAATGTTCTCCCTCCCTCAGTGCTTGCATCTCTGTTCCTCCTTCCTCACATTTCTGATAAGGGGCTTTTAGGATTAACATTGGACTTTTTTCTTTTATGTGGATTGTCCAGGGGCACATGCAGAGTCTTGTGCTATGCCAGGGGCTCCAGTAAGATGCAGTGCAAAATAATAACAAATATTCTTCTCCTGCTGTGATTGCTTCATCTTTCTCTTTGCAGCACTTCTGCTGCCTTTTTCAGACTGTGAAATTTAAATTCTGGCAGGCCAGATTTTTTCTATGATTACTGACATTGCCCATTTGCATTGAAGCATTATCTACACCAAACACATCCCCTTAAGTACATCCATGCATCCCCTGATGCTGCTGACACCAGCGGGTAGGTAATCTGACAAAGAGAGAGCCTCTGTGCTTCCACACAAGACTTAATGATCCTGTAATACTGAAGTAATGCTAGGCGACTTAGTGTATCAGTGTTTATGGTGGTAATAAAAAAACAAATTTTTGTCATCTTTTTTGTTTTTAAGAACTTTCTAACTTCTTTTTGTTTTTTAAGAATATCTAACTTTAGGTTAGATATTCCTAAAAACAGCTATAGCAGCTTCTTAAAATGTAAAGAGAGCTCAATGTGTACTTGGGAATAAACAAAATCTTCTAATTTCTGGTAGGAGCAGGAAGAGCCTACCTTTTGCCCCAGAAGTGCAACAGATAAGAGGCTCTGGGGCTGACAAAAGGAGAGGGTGTAAGTAACAGTCAAGACCCAAGAAGGAACAAGCACATTAAGTTGATCCAGAAAAGAAAAAAAAAAGAAAGCTCTGGGGAACTCATTGCCTTACAGTATTTAAGAGAGTTTATAAAGGAGATGGAGACTGACTTTTTCCATGGGCACATAGATGACAGGACAAGGGGACCTGTTTTAAACTAAAGCAGGAGAGATTTAGATTAGATGTTTGTAGGAAATCCTTTACCCAGAGGATGGTAAGGCCCTGGCACAGCTTCCCAGGGAAGCTGTGGGTGCCCCACTCCTGGAGGTGCTCAAGGCCAGGTTGGATGGGGCACTGGGCAGCTTGAGCTGGTGAGTGTCATCCCTGTCCACAGCAGGGGATTGGAACTGAGTGGGGCCTTAAGGTCCCTTCCAACCCAAACCATTCCACGATTATACGATTTTATGAATCTGCTGCTCTGTAAAGAGGTGTGTGTAAGGAGATCAAGGGCAGGTGACTGTGAGAAGGAAGTTTAGATCTTCATACATCAGGGAGATGGGTATCAATGTTTCTCAGGAAAGCTAGCCACCTGATTTTTCTGACCATATCGACTAAGTTCACTGTCCAACCATCACCTTCTGTGTCTTCATAAGTACTTAGTTTGTCACTAATTGCATCTCAGACACTTTACTGGGAAGTACTGAACAGAAGGTCTTTCCTGGAGCCTTGACTTTAAAGCTGACTGAGTGAGCAACATGAAGAAAACAACACTTTAATGTTTTCTTTGAAAAAAAAAAAAGTGATAACATTTCTGAATGATGTGGTAGCAAAGAATTTCAAGAAAAACGTGAGATCTGTAGGAGAACATTTGAAGTGGGAGAAAGACCCATTCCAAGAGTATATCAGAATCCATGGGGAAAGATGAGAGCATTTCTGCATTTGCATGACTGTTCTAGCAGTTGCTCAAAGGGTCTCTGGAAGAATCACCTGTAGGCAGTGCTGCAGAAGAGATTATGTACATAAGTATCTGTTGTTCTTGGTGCTCTGAGGCTGCAGGTATCTAAATAAACAGATGGCCATACAGTTTGGAGGTTGTCCTGGCTGTGGCTATAGCAATATTTTAGCATCTCCTGGCCACATATTTGGTACAGGAGGCTGCAGGCAATAAAGTAGTCTTATCTGCAGAGGAGGAGTAGTGGTGCCCACTCAGAGATTTTCACCAATAAAAAGACAGACATGGTGAATTAAAATCAAAGAAAAGAGAACCAGGAGACCATAATCAGAGGGTCTTTAAAGAGGTAAATCATGTCCCTAGAGACAACAGAATGTGTGTCAATCAGTAAAGAGAAGATGAAGGTTAGAGGATATGAGATGTTGTGGAGGAAAGCTGAAGTATCGTGACACCTTAGAGTGATAAAGTAATGCTATAGCAATTACAAGGATTCTGAGTGGAGTGAATAGCCCACAAATCTTTCTGCACCAGTCTCTGTCACATGAAGCACTCCACATGTGATTTTCCTTGCAGGAAATAAGATCACACTCTCTTCATTTTCCATCTACTACTTCCTTGATTTTGCAGCCCACAATCTCACCCTCTTTCAGGATGGATCTTCTTTACTGTCTATAAAGGAAATGTGTTCACAGTGATGAGATAGCTTGAAAACACCAGCCATGCCAAAAGGTGTATACTGGACCTCTTGCTCTCCATGACTTTGCAGAACAGAAAAGAAACACTCCATAATGCTGGGAAGGCTTCACTGACTGAAGTCATGTTTCTGTGCAATGGTCTGTACTCTTTTGTTACCTTTCTGAGTTCCAGTCCAATCCAGTCTTCAACTTTGTCCTGTTAAAAACAATAACAACAACAACAACAAACTTCTGTGCCTCTTATCTTTATAAAAGAAGTCTATAGATCAGTTAAATATTTGTGTTGTGCTGTTGTTCACGGAGTGAATTGAGTAAGTTTGTGCAGAAACTTGAGAACAAGAATAGAGATAGAATCTCTGTTCCAAACAAGGAAGAGAACTGTGGGCAAGGAAAGCTGAGATTGGATAGGAGACTGCATGCAGGCTGCATATCTTGTAATATGGGTGGGGAGATGCTGCTTGCTTGAAGTATTATGAAACAGAGCTTGAGTAATCAGCGTGGAGTTGGTTGTTTCTTTGAAACATCCCCTTTACACTAAACTGAGTTAGAATTGCCCTGACAGCCATTTCTGGGCTCTTGACTCAGTGATCTCTTGGGCTCATAGAATTATAGAATCACTTGAGTTGGAAGGAACTCTTAAAAGTCATCTAATCCAACTCCCCTGCAGTGTACAAGGACATCTACAGCTGGATCAGGTGCTCACAGCCCCATCCATCCTGACCTTGAATTTCTCTGGCCTCCCTGGCAATCTGTACCAGTGCCTCACCACCATTACTGTAAAAAACTTATTTCTTGTATCCAACCTAAATCTCCCCTCTTTCAGTTTGAAGCCATCTCCCCTTGTCCTTTCACAGTAGACCCCGCTGAATCATCTATCCTCTTCCTTCTAACAGACTCCCTTTAGATATACTAGAAGGCCACTCTCAGGTCTCCCCAGAGGCTTCTCAACTCCAGGCTGAACAGCCCCAGCTCTCCCAGCCTGTCCTCGTAGGAGAGGTGTTCCATCCCTTGAAACAGTTTCCTCTGGACACACTCCAGCAGCTGCATGTCTTTTCTGTACTGAGGACTCTACATCTGGACACAATAATCAAAGTGAGGCCTCACCAGCGCAGAGCAGAGGGGCAGGATCACCTCTCTTGCCCTGCTGGCCATGCTTCTGTTGATAAAGCTGATGATACAGTCGGCCTTCTGGGTTGTGAGGGCACGTTGCTGGCTCATATCCAGCTTGCTTCCACCTGTACCCTCAGGTCTGTTTCAGTGGGGCTGTACCCCATCCTTACATCCCACAGCATGAACTGATAGTGGGAGTTGCACTTGGATTTGTTGAACCTCGTGAGGTTCTGCTGGTCCCATTGCTTGAGTCTATCTGGGTCTCTCTGGATGGCATCTCGTCCCTCATGTCTGTTAACTGCACCCCACAACTTGGTGACATCTGCAGACTTGCTGAGCCTGCACTCTATGTCACTGTTGATGTCATTGATGAAGCTGTTGAAGAATGCTGGTCCCAGTACTGATCCCTGAGGAACAGCACTTCTTCATTCAGACATTGACCCACTGACCACAACTCTCTGGGTATGACCTTGTAACCAAGTCCTCATCCATCAAACAGTGCACCTGTCAAATCCATATCTTTTGATTTGGAGAGAAGGATATTATGGGGACCATGTCAAAGGCCTTAAAGTTATCAGGGACCATCCCAAAGGCTTCTCAGTCTTGGCATGTGAGAGAGCTCATGTACCCTTATAGCCCGACTGCAGCATGTTTGAACTTTCAGATAATGCTGCCAGTCTAAACCAGACATTTTTAAATCTGGGACCAATGCAACTAGAAAGCTAAAGGCCTGACTCCTATTTCCTCGCGTTAGCTATAAGTGTATGCAAAGCTCACATCTGCTTTGGGGTAATTGGCTGATTGGCTGTAATTACTCAGACTCTTACCACCTCCCCTATGATAGTGGCCTTGATGCTGCCAGTTGCTTGCAGACTAAGTGGTCCAAAAGATTGCCTAATGGTATGTTGAGCCATTTCCTCCTAAGATAATCATTTTCAAGATGCATTTCTGCAAACAAGACCATAGTTTGTGGACTAGCTTGTGGCTTGCCTTCTCTACAGGTGAAATTTGCTGATCAAGGATTAGCTCTTGGTGTACCTTAGTTGTCCCATCCCTGCCCTTTATCCCCATCAGGACAGGACTGCTGGAAGAAACCAACTGGACTGTGTTCTGCTGGAGTTCAGATTAGAAGAGTATGGTTTGACCTCCTCTGACTTTGAAAGTGATTCCTCTTTCGTTTCTTTGTAGATATGCAAAGGTATTCCCAACTGCTCTTATACCCTGTGCCAGACTGCATCTTTTTCTCTGATCCAAATTACCTCTTTTCCAAAGTGGGTTGTTTTTTTTTTAATTAAAGACAAATATTTTGATCAGAATATTTACTTCAGGAAGAGGAAATAGGAATACAAGGCAGAAAAATAACCATACTTTTCTATCTATAGGAAACGTTTGTTTTGCATGTGTCCTGATGTTATCTGTACCAAGATTCTGCCTCAAAGCCTTTTAAACATTATCCATGTTCCCTCCTTCTTCCAGCGGAAAACTCCCCAAAACTTTGTTAGCCTTCTCATCGTCCTCACCAGCACATCACCCTTATGTAGTGTCCCAGGAGCTCCCACTGCCGTTGCATACCCTGAAAGAGGAGGAGGAAGAACTCTTGCCTCACCTGCTGCTTCCTGATGGCATCGATGTGCTGGAGAAGGTAGAGAGGAAGTACAAAAAGAAGAAGCAGCAGCAGAAGAAGCAAAGACTGCGGCAGTTTAATGACCTATGGGTTCGCTTTGAAGAAAGGTAGCTAATGGCTGGGAAGGGAGGTGGGCTTGGCATGCAAATTGGATTTTAGCTTGGACTGATTAATCAAGTAGGCCAAGCTTCTGCAGAAGCTAGATATGTTCTGAGGGTGTAGGATCTGACCCGCCTCACCATGATTCTTGCAGAGACCTTTACTCAAGGCGGCTTGTGCTTTTAGGGATGAAATTGCTTTTTCCTGCAGGGTTAGGTTGGTGGAAAATCAGGCATAACATGCAGGGAAGCCTTGCCAAAAACATTTTACATTTGAGCTCAAGGGATTGTGAGTACATAGTTCCTATCTTAATCACAGATGACTGGATCCACTGGTAAATGTACAGCCTCTTGGATTTTTTACCCAAGAGCAGCTGCGTATGTGGGAACTCTCATGTCTAGCATATGTGCTCCTTGCATTTGGACAGTATACATTATTTCTAGTATCTGTATTCTTCCAGTGCTAAAGAACATGCAAGCCCTGAGGCATTACCAGAGATCTGGAAACGGGAATGACAACCCAAAGTGTGACTGAGTTAAGATGAAAAATGGAGCACATTGTGGGGAAAAGGTTTACATCCTCCTGGCAGTTTTCACACAGAAGAGCTTTCTCCCTACAGGAATTATAGCAGCCTGCAAAAAAGCCTCATCCCTCACAAGTAATACTTAGGTCTGCGGCTGAATGTGAACTTTTATGTTTACCTTGTGTCAAGTAACACACAGGCCTGATGCTAGCCATATATCTCTGCCATGTTCAGGTTGAGAACATGTTATTTTTGTGGTGCTATGAATGAACAAAAAGGTCAAGATGATGGAAAAGAGCTGTAGCTCTTAAACTGAAGTTTCTATGTTCATTTTTTCTCTCTCAAAAGCATATTTCTTCCTGGTCCCCAAAGTCCTGAGTATCATGCCTCTTTGTCCCAACTGTACCACTGCTTTGAGTAATGCAGTGCTTACACAGTGCAAACAGGTGCAGCAGCTTTTGATTCTTTTTCTGTTCCAAGCATTCAGCCTTTGTCAAACTTTTTAGATCAAACTCTTTTCCCTCTTTTTAGGGCAATTTTCACTCCTCCTTCCAAACGAAGTGCACGTGGTTTGGGGACAGGTGGGAGACAAATGTGCATGGAGGTTTGCGTGCCCACTGACAGACATATACACAGTCCAAGACACGCCAATTCAACAAATTGTTATATTGATCACATCTGATATTGTGTTTTACTGTAACATTTAATCACAGAATCGTTTGAGTTGGAAGGGTCTCTTAAAGGCCATCTGGTCCAACTCCCCTGCTATGAACAGGGACACCACAACTAGATCAGGTGCTCAGAGCCCCATCCAGCCTGACCTTGAATGTCTCCAGGGATGGGAGAAAGCCCGCAGACTACATTTACTTCTGTTAATGTAGTTGATACCAGCTATTTGCTTGACAGTCTGTTTAGCTGAAACACCAACTAATGATTTGGAGTCCTTATCAGCCCAAGCTCCCACCCTAACTGCACACCATCATCTTCTGTTTTTCATATGCAATTATTCTTGTGAAGTTCAGGAGCATCAGTGGGTGTCCTGAAGTAAGCCTCTATGCCTTCAGGACATAGAATATTGGAGCATGTGTTATTGTTACTGAATTGGAGATGTTTTAGGGGAGCATACTGGATTGCAAGTGCAAAACAGTAGTGAAGTAGAAGCAGAGCTAATTATGACAACTTAGAAAACTATGAGATAAATATGAGAGCAGAAAATGCCTCCTTTCCTTTTTGTTTGTAATCTTTTCTGTCCTCTACCAATTAAGCCATCCTTTGAGCTGTAAACCTGCTCAGGCGCTAGGCTCTTACTGCATCTGACTGCCCACACGGTCCTGTGCCGAGCGGACAGCCCCACCTGGTGGCACTGCGGACACCCGGCTCCTGGATGCACGAGCTCCCTGGGTGCCTTGTCACGGGAATGCTCCCAGATCCCTGATGCATGGGCCTGAACCACGTATAACTTCACGCCTGGAAATGTGAAAGATGCAGATTGAGTGACCTAATGCACCTTTGTAGTGGATTTGGCTGAATTGATTTGGTTCATGCTCCTCTATGTGCGTATCAGCTAACAGCTGTATTTCTTTGTTGTGCCACCTGCTGGCTTCTCTGCTCAGACCTCCTCTGGGACCTTTGCACACAGAAGGGTACAATTTTTAAAAAAGAATGCTGATTGCCTTTCATTTCCCAAAGCATTCTTGCTTTATGCAGTTAGCCAAAATAAGGCAAAAACAGAGCACAACAGTTAGGGACTATATGCAGGAAATATGACCCTGCTGTTGTGTTTGGCAGGTAAGTTTGCTTCTGACTTTGTCACAATTTGTATTCCATTTTCACACAGCACTGTGGTGCCCTGGAGGGCACATCAGCCTTGTAGCTTTGGCATCACTCATGGCTTTAATCGTTGTTCAAAAAGAGACTCACATACCTCTTCTGAGCCTCAACCTGCGCTGCAACACTGCAGGAGCTCACTCAGCTCTGGGCAGTTCGTGTCAGCAGCATGCAGGGTAAAAGTCCTCTCCTTCACCATGTGCTGCCATAATGGGAGCATAGTATTTTGTAAGCTCTCACCCAGCTCATGCTCATCACCAGCCCAGGGTCCTCAGTACCACCAGAGATACTTTGAGACACTGTGATCTTTTCCCTGTAGCATTTCTGTTTTTAAGAAGTGTTTCTGGCAGGGTTTCTTTCTCTTCTTAGGGGATGTCATTTAAACCCTTTGTAATTCCTGACCTGTGGAAGGGAACAAGCAGCATAGGGGTGAGTGTAGTCCAGGCTAAGGTGCACACATGGAGAAGTTTGGTAGGGGAGAATGGATTCAGCTGAAAGGAGGTGCCTCATTCCTGTAGAGCTGAGCTAAGCAATTCTGCTGCAGGGATGCTCCTCTAAAGCACAGGTGGTTTTGTTCTTATTTTCTACCTTGCTGTAAGGCAAGCTGGAGGGCTAGGAAAGCTGTCACCTTGCCCACCTGCCTGCCTGTATAAGAGCAGAGATCAATCAGTCTGAGCACTACTAGTGTTTCAGGGCAGTCCCCACCCTCCTCAGCTTATTCTGTGTTCTCCCCCAAGACTGATTCACACTTAGGTGGGCTAGGGCTTCTGTATACATCAGCTGTGTGAGAACTGCCCATGCCCTTGAAGAAGGGGAAAGGCAAGTCTCTGCCATTAGGCACAGTACTTTGGTGAGCATGGAGCCAGTGTAAGAGACCATGCCCAGCATCTTGGGTGCCCAGAAGATGGGCATTGGGGCACAGAAGCCAGCAGTGTGCGGGTTTCAGCCAGTTCTGGGCTAAGTCTGGACTGACGTTCTTCTTCGCTTGCCTTGCAGTGCCACCGACCCTCCTCCCGGTATCCGTATCATCAATGGCTACATCACAGTGGAACCCCAGCCCCGGGGCCATGGACGGTTCAGTCCCGCTCACACAGACACCAGCTCGCACAGACACAGTGGCTCTCGCCAGCTCTCCCACTCCCTTCTGCTCTCACTACTGACTTTGGCTATGCATATGATTAGGCTGCACTGAGATGTAAGGGGAGCCGAGCGGCAGGACTCTCCCCTTAAAAAGCAAACAAGAGACTTAAGTTAAAAATAACAATAAAAACGGAAGACTTTGTGAGTGGGACACGTATTCTGTGGGATGTTCTCAAACTGCTTCCTTTTCCTGAACCTAGATCATTAACACTATTAACTGGTTTGACCTGCCCAATACAGGAGAAGATATTTTAATGGAAGTGTTATTTAATCCTTCTCTTGCAGAAGAGTGACTTCATGTTATCCCATAATGCTTTGGGGAAATGTATAATGTTGCTATAACATAGCTGTTGTTTAGCTGTATGAGCCCAACTGAGTTGTACTTTTTGCACCTTCAGTGCCTTGTGTGGGGATTTACACATCACTAGCTTATTTTTTAGAACAGAGTATTTTGGTCATATGAACACAGCTGGGAGGAAGAGGTTAGTATTTTCTGGTAATGCTTTTAACTCTTTTTAATTCCTGCTTGTTCCTGCTCCAGATTATACATAAAGGTTCATAAAAAACACCTTCTACAATAGAATAAAACAGTAAAGACTTACAAACAATGTTTTCTGCTGTCTGTGTAGCACTGTTTTAAGATGGATAAAACTTAACTTCCAATGTCCAGGCAAGTCTCTTTAACACTAATATATGTTTAAGGAAAAAGTGATTGCTGGGTTTTTGCAGCTTTTGTTTACTCGTGTTTTTTAAATTTGCCTCCAAAATAGAAATTTTCAGTAGGTGATTTTACAACACCGGAATCAGGTTTACCCTCTTTATCTAAATCAGAAATATATTGTTATTTTATCGTTGTTTTTTTTTTTATTTTTTTTTTTTTTTTTTTAGGGGGGAATCCTTTCTAATACTTCTGCAAAGTTAGATTCCACTCCAGGAAACCTTTGACAATTTTCAACTGATCATCAGATTTCCGAAATTGTTATCGATCCTCTGCTATCTACTTAAAATGAACATACTGTATTGACTCCTGGTTCTAGTAACACTGAAAGTGGTGATGCATGGTTTTTTTGTCTCTGTACAGGACCTCCTCTTGTGACCATTCTGACTCATGAGAAACATGTTCTCCCTCATCTTAGAAGGTCTTCATAGCACGGGAGGGTCTCATGAGATTTTTTGTCTCACTCGTGAGAGGACTTTCAGAAAATTCAGGCCTTGGCAATTTGCATGCACAGCAGATCCCTGCCCCTACGAGACATCAAAGGATATGATTTCTTCAGATTTCTCTTCCTATGAAAATGCTTCGCTACTTTTCGTTGCTTGTAAAAAGCACATTTTTCCTCCTCCTTCTGCTGCACAGTTCTGCTTTCCTGCAGGAGGAAAAATGTTTCTAGATGTGTTAACAGAATTTTCATCTAAAGATCTCAAATCCTGGTCCACTTCCAGGAGGACTGTACGTAAACAAAGCCTTAGAATGGTGAGGAAAACAAAGAAAGCAGAGTCTGAATATTGCTGTTTGCAACAGGAGAGAAGTTTTTACGCCCTGGGGTACAAGACAGAATCAATTCATTGCATATTCTTTATCAAAAGACATCAACATCTCAGAGACATTCTGTTTTCCACGGGATGACATAGCAGACAGGTTGGTGATGTGCTCCTCTCTGTCTCCCTCTCTGACTGGTCATCTGCTGGCGTAAACTCTCATAGAGTTGGTGTGTCTGGCCTTATTTTCCTTGGGCTCAATGTGATCTGAACAGATCTGCTCAAATGGGGCATAGCTTAGTTAGAGCCATGCATTGCAAGCCTGACAAACTGAGCAAATGCTTGTGTATTTGTGAGTGCATCTGAGGCAGGCATGAAAGGCATTACACCAGAATGTTCTGCTATCTGCTAGCCCATGCTTTGGCACTGTGGAATTGCTGTCCCCTCTCAGATGTGGCACAGACTCAGTGGGGTCTGCAAACATTGGAAGAAGGGGTTGGAGAGCTCTCATGCCCTTTTTCCATTACCAGATAAAGGCTGCCCTTCACGAAATAGTCGCAGACTGGCAGTTCTCTTTATTCACTCCTGCATAGTTACACTCCTTCAAACTGGCAAGTGAGGAAATGAGTTAGAGGTAAGGCTTAAAATCCACTGACACATACTAAGGGGTATCAGAAAGGCCCACCACACCTGGAAGATCAAGAACCTGGGGATTCCTCCTCCCTAGCTGCTTGAGCTTTGCTCAAGATCTCTGACCTAGTATGAAAATAGGAAATGGAATGTTTTTGGTGTTTTGTGGCACTATTATGTAATTCTGTGGTGGGTGGTGAGCCTTTGTTGGAAGGGGGTATTTTTGGAGAGATCTCCTTTCAGATGTATGTTTAAACACCGGAAGAAGGGGCAATGGGAGAGGGAGTTGGAGCCTCTTCCTGAGGGGTCCACATGTTCATACAACACCTGCTGCACAGGACAGATGTTTGTGCTGGAGCTTTTTATTTCATGTAAAGGCAAGAGCAAAGTCAAGGGCACAAGACAGACGATACTCAGACTTTAAAGCTTCCATTGCTGAAACAAATTCCATGATGCTAAAAGCAAGAAACATAATCGTGTCTCTGCCTTTGGAAATGCAGTATGGAAGAACAAATCACAGAAGGCTGATGACAAGATCTCGAGAACTCCAGTGTAGTCTCAGCTTCCACAATATCTTTAGATGGCAGGGAGTGTGGCTGGTGGATCTCATCCTCTGTTTGCAGAGGGGGCACATGGGTGTGCTCTCAGCCCACCGCAGGATGCAGCCAAAGCAGAACTGGTGCAGAAGACTCAGTTATGCTTGTGTAACCTTGTAAGCCTGTCATCTATCAATGGGATCAGTATGTGATGGGTGTGGAGTGAGACCTTTGGGATTGTAAGTAGAAGACACGGGAGTGTTTATTGGTGGAGATGACCCACCTTGTGCCCTGCATAGAAATGAAGCAGTGCCTCCTCTGTCGATGTTTGCCTTTGCAACGTGTTGAGGGAGGTTCTAAAGAAACAGTAATAGCAGCACAGCAGGCCTCCAGGCCCAGCAGAGGTCAGGTCTCCCCCCTGCACAGCGCTGACAAAGGCACTGGTAGCAACACGGAGACTTTTCTGTGATTTTATTGCAGTCAACTCTCGGAAAGGGTAGGTAATAGCAGGACAAGGGGAAATGGTCTGAAGGTGAGGGAGGGAAGGTTCAGGTTGGATGTCGGGGGGGAAGTTCTTTACAGGGAGAGTGGTGAGGCTGCCCAGAGAAGCTGGGCACAGACAGAGGTGCTGACATGGGTGCCCCTGCTGGGCTGGGAGTGCAGCAGTGCTCACCTGAACTGCTGAAATACTTGGCGAGGGCTTAATTTTAAGTTTGAAGTCTCAGAAGGAGCTTAAAATGTGAAGTTTAAATGCAAAATTAAACACTCCATGTCCTTCAGAAAAGTTCCTGAGAAACAATTGACACTGTCCTTACCCCAAAAACCTCCAAGAAGCTAAGAGAAGCTATAATCTTGCTGGGTGATATAATCTTGACTGGGTGATTACAATCATTTCCTTCCATTCTGGTACCCTGAAATAATAGATGTGCATAGCTCAATTACATTTTATGCATAAGTGTAATCAACACAGTTTAATAACTTTTCTAAGAGTGAAGGGATTTTCACTATTTTTGGAAAGAATCCATAATTACACACTCATTTATGCATGGAGATGAGCTGCCAGAGCTACATAATCAACGCAGAGTTTGAAAGCAGACTTCATGGATGTGAATACAGGTATGCAATGCCATGAAACCAATGGCTGCATGATACAGAACAGGATCTCTAACAGTATTCCACCTTTCTGGAATGGCTGCTGTTCCCATATACTGTGATGTGGGTTATTTCAAACTACACATCCTACCTGACACCTCTGTGTGAGCAGCAATCCAGTGCTGAAAGATAACTGACCATTTTGGGTGGGGCTTGGCTTGCAATGTATACTTTCTATATGTGAGCTCAGCCCCTGTTATGGTCTGCAGAGACGTAACCTCAACAGCTGGAGCCTGAAGAGTAGCTCAGCTCATCCTGTATCTGGAAAGCTAAATATCCACTGACCCCATAGGCTGCACTGCTTGCGTAGGCAAATTGATGCAGTGGAATAAAGGAGACTGTTTAACAGAATTTGAAACTCTACTGCACTGCCTTTTGTGACTTGGTGTTATCATTAGGTTTGTTTGGTAAAGGGGAGCTGCATCTTTAGGAAGCCTTGACCTATAGCAGCTGGGAGTGAGTAATACCCAGAGGCTCATCAGAGCAACACCTCATGCTACAAAATGATGTGAATGTCCAGCTGAATCTAGCCCCACAGCTTTCTCTGCAGGAATGCGACTAATGCTAGAAGGCAAAAAGCTGTCTTTCCAACACAAAGCATTCCTCTTTATTTTACAGACCGAATTTTGTTCTGTTTTACTATTTAAGAAATACTGGAGACTGGTTGTCTCAGCCTATGCCAGCAAGATGTTATCACACTACTGTGATAGTTACTGTGTAACAACCCTTAGCTTGTCTCTTGTTTATGCTAGCTGTAAGCAGTGCCGGAAGACTGGAAAGACATTGACAATTTTAGAGATTATAATGAGAGCTCTGTGACTGCCTTTGTGCTGGAAAATCATTACAAATTCCCTTCCCCAGGAACACTTCTATAACAACTATAATGAAACATCCTCTTCTTCTTTCTTGCTTCAAGATCTCTCCGATATGCAGTTGTTTCAGTTCCTGCTGCTTGCGGGAAGGATGATGAGGATGGGAAAGGCTGGGGTTTGCCATGGGCAGGGAAACACATATGGTTTTCATTCTCTCTTTGCCTTTGAGTGCCAGAGGCATACTGGAGAACCTGTCCACTTGGTGGACCTTTCCTGTCCTCTGCTGTTCAGCTGGAGAGATGTCCCACCTTCTCCAAGGACATCAGGACAAAGATATGTAACCAAAATCGGTCCAGGCTGGCTGTACCTGTGGCCAACAGCTGCAAGCAACTGCCTTGGTGATGCCATGGGCATGGCATAGCAGGTACAATGTTGACAATTGCCATTGTCACACAGGCACTGGTGACTCGAAGGTCATAGGGAGGATAGAAAGAGCTGCTAAGCTGTTTAACAGCTTAAGCCAGATTAACAACCTTGTGCCCAAATCTTCACTAATAAAATACTTGTAATGAATGAATGTTCTAAAATATGAAAGAATTGTGGGAAATGCAAACATTTGGGGGGGGGGGGAGGGGGGGGGGAGGGGGAGAGGGGGAGAGGTTTCCTAGAATATTACAGTGGACACAAAAGTGAATTCCTCAAAAGTTAAACACCTAAGAGATGCAGCATTTTGTCATAAAGGTCCGGTTATGGATATGGTGACAATTCATCTTGTTTCTCTTTTCTTGGGTGACAATTGATAGAGCATGAAGAGAAGATGTCAAGCCAGGAAAAGTTTCAATTGGCTATTAGGAATAATCACAGAATTGCAGAATCAGAGAACTGTAGTGGTTAGAAGGGACCTCCAGAAATCGAGTCCAACTCCCCCACAAAGCAGTCCCCTACAGCAGGCTGCACAGGTAGGCATCCAGGAGGGTCTTCAATATTTCCAGAGGAGACTCCGCAACCTCTCTGGGCAACCTGTTCCAGTGCCCCACCACCCTCCCTATGAAGAAGTTCACACATGTTTGTGTGGAACTTCCTGTGCTTCAGTTTCTGGCCATTTCCCCTTGTCCTATCACCATACATCACTGAAAAGAGTCTCACCTCATCCCACACCTTAGATATTTACAGACGTTTATCAGCCTTCTTATCTCAAGGCTGAACAGACCCAGGTCATCCAGCCCTTTCTCATAAGAGAGATGCTCCACGCCCTTTATCACTGTCAGGGACCTCCACCAGACTCTCTCCAGTATATCACTGTCTGTTTTGTACTGGGGAACCCAGAATTGGACACAGTACTCCAGGCCTGACCAGGACAGAGTAGAGGGGAAGGGTCGTCTCTCTTGACCTGCTGGCCATGCGCTTTTTAATGCACCCCAGGCTGCCAGGCTGCCACTGTAATTCTTGGCCACCAAGGCCAAGAAGTGGCTCATGGCCAACCTGATATCCACCAGGACACCCAGGTCCTTCTCCACAGAGCTTCTGTCCAGCAGGTCATCCCTCCAGACTGGTGCACATGGTTATTCCTCCCTAGGTTCAAGAATTTTTCCATTGAGAGATTGGTCAAGCATTGAAATGGGCTTTCCAGGAAAGTGATGTAGTCCCCACTCCTGCAGGTATTTAAGAGGCATGTTGATGTGGCACTAAGTCATTCTACAATTCTATGATCTTGGAGATAATTTCTGACCTAGATGATTGTATGCTTCTGTGTGTGACAGAGTTAAAGGAGTCACCTGTATCTGAGGAGGAAAGAGACATTACTGCAAATACAACACATCTATGAAACTGTGTTTCTATGCGGGGAACTGATTTTCTGGATGACATTCCTTAGTCTTGAAACCAAAATTTCTCTGCCTCACCCTTTCTTACACATTACTGTTTTGTTCATGGGATTCTAAACCTTATCTAAACTACTTTATTTCAGTTCATGTATTGGACATTAGATAAAATTTCCAGGAACAGTACAATAGAAACAGCCAAATGAAACAACAGCATTGACTTTCTGTATTTTACTGTATTAAATGTTCTCAAGAACAATTCTGTTCTGGACTTTAAATGTGTTCTATCCATCACTCATTGGAAGAAAAATTTTAAAAAGACAATGAAAATAAAAATGGTATCCCATCATCAATTTTCTTAGCAAATCTCTTTCTGTATTCAGCACTAGATCTGTGTGCTTTCCACTCTACCACAGAGGAAAACCTTGTGATTTATTCATTAGATTTGCCTCGTTACATTGAGATACCTGTAGGACAAGAAGCCAGGCTTCCACATGAAAACAACTGAAACTGTGTGAGAAATTAAATTTACTGTGAAGCTTCATGCTGAAAGTTGGATGAAAAATAATAGCATACAAGAACTGTCTTCTTCCCCTTTTCCAGACAGTATACAAATATGAAGTTTTACTTAAAAAATAAAAATAAAAAATCTTGTATGCAAAGCAGGCAATATATGGGAAAAAGGAAATCACTCACCCTGCATAATCCACTTGTAAGTGTGGGAGCTTGTCAAGTTATCCTGAAAGATGGGCTCTGGGCTAGGGAAACGATTTCAAAAGGGATAAGAGCATCCTTACGGGTCAACAGAGTAGGATTTTGTGAAGTATGTCCACAGGAACAAAAAGATAATCACTGTCAAAGCTTACATTATCCAAGTTACAGTAGTGAAGCCCAGAATGACAAGATGAACACAAAAGTTGCACAAATTTTTAATTACTGCTAGTATTTCTTCTCTGTAGCTAAAATCTCTCTAATGTGGATGTCCTTACACTAATCAGCTATCAGTTATTTGAAAAGTAACAGAAACAGTAAGAAAACATCTAACATTACATTACTTTGGTAAACAGCAAGAGTCCTTTCAGTCTAGCACCTGCTGGAGTATCTAAACTGACAATAAAAACTCACATGAACACCTGCATCTCATAACAGTGTCAGGTTTTCTTCAGATGCTGAGTCTTATTAAAAATATGATAAGCACTGATGACACAGGTGTCACCAGTGACATACAAGGTGACACAGCATCCTGAACTGTGCTTTGTACTGCAAACATTTACTGCTTTTCAGCTTCAGATGCTGGCAACAATCTCCTGGGTGCCCTGATCCAACACAGTGCCAGGAACACTGAAAAGCAACTCAGTCAGTATAAGGGAAAATGAATCAACCTCCTGCCAGGGAGTTGTAAGAGCTGTAAGGTCTGCCCTGAGCCGCCTCTTCTCCAGATTGAACAGCCCCCATTCTGTCAGCTGCTCCCTGTAAGGTTTGTGCTGCAGACCCCTCACGGCTTTGTTGCCCTTCTCTGGACATACTGTGGGGCCTCAATATCTTTCTTTATGTATTACTATTAAAAAAAAAAAAAAAAGAAAACACACATACATACTCAAGAAAACAGCAAATTAGAACTAAAACCTAAACAAAAAAAAGGAACAATAGAACAACGAAAAAAGAAAAGCCAACCAAGGAACAGATCAGGAAATAGCAACAGTTTCTAGCAGT